GAACAACCAAGGGGAGAAAGGATTTACCTCCCAGGGCTTCAGCCAAGCAAGGAGACAGGAGTGGCGGCTGCTGGTTACACCATGGTGGCCAGGCTATAACCCTCAAAGGCCCATCCCTATGGACCGATCCTCCAGACCCTGTCTCCCAAAGGATTCCCAACTTCCCAGAACAGTGCCACCAGCTGGGGACCAGGTGTTCAAACACACCAGCCTTGTAGGGCATTTCATACCCAAACCATCACAGCTCCTAGGAAGGGACTCCTTGCAATTCAGGGGGCCTGGAGCTCCTCAGTGGAAGGTGGGTCCCCAGTAGTGGTGGGGCTGTTCAGCTAATGGCAAGACCACCTTCAGGTGGCCTGCACTGAGGGGTGCCAGCTTTAGTAGGCAGTGTATAAGATCTAGTCTGCCTGGTTTGCTGAGTATGGGGTTGCCGAGCTCCATTATGCTGTGAATACTAGTTAGACTGCAAGAAACAAGTTGCTGTTCACACAGAGACCTGAAATAACCAACATCTAAACCTAAAGACTCAGGAATCCAAAGTCGCCATGGCAATAGTGATCACCATCCTCAAGCCTGACTGTGCACTACAAGTCGGTGGCCCTCACAGCAACCGGAAGAGATGGAGCTATGGTCCCCATTTGATGGATGAGGAAACTGAGGCTCGGACAGGCAGCCAGTGTTGGCCAAGGTCAGAGACTTAGTAGAAATTGAGTAGGCACATAGTTGAAGAACACTGTCATTCAAAAGGACTGCCAGTGAGATTCCATGTGGGAATCTGGTAGGGTGAGGGCAGAAGGCATTGCTAAGTCCTGATTGTGATGACTGGACCAACTGAATTAGTATCAATGAGATTCGGGCTTAAGGCTCCAGATTCAGCATCTGTATTAGTTCCGTTTCCAGTTATTATAACAAAGTACCTGACAAGAGCAACTTAAGGATTTATTTTTGCTCTCTGTTTGTCCATCATCCTGGCAGGCATGGTGGCAGAGGCAGGAAGCAGCTAGACATGTTCATCCTCAGTCAGCAGAAAGAGATGAAAGCTGGCGCTCAGCTAAGCTTGCTTGCTTTTTATACAGCCCAGGGCCCCAGCCTATGGGTTGAATGCTGCCACCTGAATTCAGGGTGGGTCTTCCCTCCTCAGTTAAACCTCTCTGGAAACACACACCTTCAGTGACACACCCGAAGGTGTCTCTAGGTGATTCTAAATTCAGTCAAGTTGACATTGAAGATGAACCGCCATGGGGCTAGAGAGATGGCTCAGTGGTTAAGAGCACTGGCTGCTCTTGCAGAGGACCCGGATTTGGTTCCCAGCACTCGCATGGCAGTTAACAATCATTTATAGCTTCAGTTCCAGGGGATCCGACACCCTTTTCTGACCTCCGTGGGCACTGCACGACGCGGATGTACTTAAATACATGCAGGCAATACACTCATATACATAAAGTAAATAAAAAAGATGAGTCATCACAATAAAGCTGTACTTAGAGGAAAATCATAGTTCCTTCAGTCCCATGGTGTCAACACTAAGTCCCTTATATGAGTTACCTGCTGCTGTGCAATGTGTAGGGACTCACCAAACTCATTGGCTCAGGACACAGCCCTCAGCTGAGGACTGTGTATGGGCAGCTCATACCGCAGCCTGCTCATCTGGGCCTCTGCTGCGTGTACGTTGGTTGGCTCTCCACCTCACTGCTTGCCTGAGGCAACTCAGTGTGCCCTCATCCCTCCGGCAGGCCAGCCAGGACATCTCACAGGGAAGACAGCTGAACTGCAGAAAGGAAGAGCTTGTTTTAAAGCCTCTTGGGTCAAATTTGCTATTGCCCCCAAGTCCCGTGATGAGGCCCAGAGTCAGCAAGAGGTAGCTGGAGATACAGCTCTGTAGTAGAGTGCTCGCCTTGAGTGTACAAGGCCCTGGGTTCAATACCTAGCACCACCACCAAAAAAAAAAAAAAAGTAATTTCAGGTTCAACAAGAGGGGACAGTGTCCACAGTCATGGACATGGGAAAGGAAAGTTGTGGGAATTGGAGTGGTGTGTCACTCAGGTCTCCCGTACAGTTCTTAAACACATCTTCCATCCCTGCCCCTCCCCCAGTTACCACCTGTCCTTGGCATCTAGATCCCTCTTCCTCAGAGCAGTCTCCATTGGCCACCTGAGACTTGGCTCCTGGGATGTTCCTCACTGCCTTTCAGGGCACTATAGTCTGGGGACTCTTACCCAGCTGTGTGCTTTCCAATGACAGACATGATATCTTGACCCTTACTATGTCAGGAGGTCCCCACTGCGTTCTCCTGGCTTCCAGGCAGACCCTGTCTTACGCAGTCTATGGATTTTCACTATTCAAGCCAGGAAGAGTATGGCCAGGCAGGTGACTTGTCTCCTAAGGAACCTGTACACCGCTAGGAACCTGGGGTGCTCCTTGGGCCCCCAGGATGTGAGTGAATCTTCCTGCTAGTTCCCTCTTGCAGGAAAGACCTGTGCTCTGTCTTCACTATGGTCCATCTAGCTTGGTCATCACAGCCATGTGACCCCAGAACTGCGCTAAGGCCACAGCAGTTGTGGCAGCTTCCAGCCCCACTCAGCCCAGTGGAAGAGGGGGAGCTCAGCCTGCCCCACCCACCCTCCCTGCCTGGTGGCCAGTGAACCCTAGCAGCCCCTTTGCTCCTGCCTGCCCAGGCCAGCTATGGATTGGAAATAGTGCCCATCCCTGGTTGCAACAATGCCCCAGGGTTCCTCACTAGCCTGATCCGGTTCATTCCTATTCCTAGATTTGTCCTTTCAGACCCAGATTCCCCTGAGGAAGCTTTGCATTTAGAAAGCTTCTTCTGGGATGCGGCCTCATTTCTCTGCTTGTTCTTCACAATTCCCCAGGCCTCCCAGGCCTCTCTCTGGATCCTGAATCAGAGACAGAGAGTGACTCCACCTTGCCTGCCTCCCTGCTGCTGCGGCCTCGTTTCTGGGGGGCTATGGAGAAGCTGGCACCTCCTTCCTGCTCCCAGGGGCCCATGTCTGAAAAGCAGTCTCATTAGGTGTACCATCTTTTCTTTGTATCTGCCGGTGAGTCTTAGACCCCCGTGAGGCCACACCAAGACTCCATCTTCAGGTCAGAGTTAGAAGCACCGGCTGGAAGCCCCCTCACACACACGGGGTTGGGGGGGGGGCGATTCTGCTCCTCATCCCCAAATCTACCTCTGTACCTCACTTGAAGACAGGGAGAAGACCAGGCCTTCTAGAGGGTTCCAAGGACCCAGAGGATATAGATCAAGCCAGATCCAAGTACCAGGTCTGAGGGAAACATTTCCGCCGTGCATTCCTACGAGCTTCACTGATCACTGTCTGGTGCCAGGCAGAGAAGAAGAGAGTGGAGGGAAGAGGACCCCAGAGGCCAAGAGACCAAGTAACAAACTGATACCTGTGTGCCCGAAGAGTGTGGCCTTTGTGGATAATGGCGGGGGCAGCTCAGTGCTAGATCATGATTCTGGGATCCAACCCCACCCCCACCCCCTGCACCGCAGTAACAGATAAAGACTGGTAAGAGGGCCTGGCATTGGGGAGAGGGATGAGACACTGCTGAAGGAGGTAGAGACAAGGAGCATCAGAGAAGGTACAGTTAGGAACTGTTGGAGGCCCAGCTCCTTGGCCATCCTGTCTAGAACCTCCACCGCAGCCTTCAAGTCCTGGCCATGGCAGGGGATGAAACTTGGTCAGCCAGGGGCTGCTCCCAGGACACTGCTGTCCCCTAGCTGAGGGACTGTGGCTGTGACCAGGGCTGCACACGTCCCCTTTCGTCCCCGAGGCCAGGAGCAGTCACATGATAGCTAGCTGAGGCCTCAGATGTGTCTGCTCATGAATATCAATCAGGCTGGGTAATTCACAGGAAGAGGAGTCCAGATTGGCTAATAAGCAGCGCTTTCACCCCAAACTGGGCCTGGGGAAGGAGAGCCGTGACAGCGGGCAGGTGTGGGCATGATGTGACCAGAATTGGAAAGCCGGGCGACAGACCTGCAGGCAGAGAGGTGGGGGAGGAGGCGGCTAAGCAGCTTGGGGAGTTGGAGTCACTCTCAGGCAGCAGGCTGGAGCCCTGGGCTGGAACATTCACAGCCAAGAAGATGCAATCTCTGCAGCCTGAGGAGTGCCAGGGCCGGAGCCTCCTGGGAACTGTGGCCTGTCAGGATGTGCAAACAGACCCCTGGCATCCAGCTGACATCAGCCATGGGAGAGCCCCTCAGGTCACCCCCATCCCCACTGAAAGCCAGGTCTATTCTCCCTCCAAGGCTCCTGGTCATTGTTAGAGTCTAGCTGTGACTCTAAGAGAGAGGTAGGTTGTCAAAAGGCTGCTCCAGCCGGCAGACTCGTTACTGAGGGGCAACGGCCCTGTGAGAGCCTTCAGAGCCTAGGTCCCTGAGGTTTGAGGGTCACCAAGCCCTGTTCTGAGCATTTCCTGTGTCCTTGCAGCCTCAGGTTTCTTACCACAACCAGGATCTTGGGGGCTGCAATCTGACAGCTACTGCTCATGAGTTCTGACCCCAGAAAGTTACCTGGTCATCCCAGGCCAGTTTCCTCTGATTTAAATAAGGATCAGAACCTGACTTCCTGCCTCAGGACCCACTGAGTGAACCTAGATGCAGGAGCCACCGGGCCACACTTGCTTCAGGGAAGACACTGAAGCCAAGTCCCCATGTGCATGGCAGGCTCTGGACTGAGATTCTAAAGCCCACACACATCGTGGGCCTTGGATGAAGCCACCTCCCTCCCCTCCCCCATTCTAGACTTGTTTCTTCCACATCCTTGACGAATGACCATCATCACTACCTACACACATTTAGTATGCAACACCTTACAAGCTGCACCCCACTCTTCTGTCCTCACCCCCAGTGAGGAATTCAGAAACCAGAGAGACCACACAAATCACAAGTGAGTCAGGAAGTAGGCTTGTGGGGAGAGAGGGCTGTTTTTCACTAATCACTATGTCCTTCAGCAGCTCTGCCCCGTGTCTTTCAGACCCAGGAATACCACCCTGCCTGCTGGAGAAAGCCATGGAAATGCTCAGCAGGAACGTTTCTTAAGAAGAGTCCTTCAGCTACATGGTGCTCTGTGTTGGTGGTCCCAGCCCTCTTTGCTGGGATGAGATCTGTCACCAGCACCAGCATGTACCTGCGAGTCCTCACAGAGGAGTGGGGACCCATAGCAGCCTGGCCACCAGGGGAAACGGGTACCACCTCCTGAGGCCAAGTCATCTCTGGGTTGTCACTCTAGAAAGTTGTAACTGTGAGGCTGGAGTTAGATGCCACAGTCCCTAAGTACGTGGTGGGTGGAGTCCCAGGCTGGACTGAGTCCTCGTGACCCTGGTGCCCCTTTCTTTGACAGCCCCAATCAAGGTTAAATCAGCTGATTGGTTGTGGGGTCCTCACCACAGCCCCATGGATGGTTTCCCCATTTTACAGTTGAGGAAACTGAGGCCTGCCTTGGGCCAAAGATTTCCTCAGAAGTCCTCACCCCACACTCAACTACATCCAGAGAAGACCTGGGAGAGAATGCCCACATAGCTTTGTAGATGTTTTCCAGCTCTCTCTGTTCCATGTGGAAACAGACTAGGGGAGCATGCAGCTTAGGGGACTATAGGGAACAGAGAACGCTGAGCTGGAGCTGGCTTGTGGAGTCTGATGGGTGAGTGTTTACCTAGCACAGAGGGGACAGAAGTCTTGGACATACAGTCCGGTTAGCCCAGGTTCAGCCTCAGCCTTCTGAAGCCCACATGGGCACTACGAGCCACAGCCAGTCCAAACAGAAGTAAGGCATGGACAAAGTGTCCTCCCTGCCTTCCCCCTAGTCACAATGTCATTTCTGTGAGACTAGGCAACATTAAAGGTAACACAAGGGGCTGGAGAGATGGCTCTCAACCAGTTAAGAACACTGATTGTTCTTGCAGAAGACCCAGGTTTGAGTCCCAGCACCCACGTGGCAGCTAACAACTGTCCATAACTCCAGTTCCGAGGGAATCTGACACCGTCTTCTGACCTCCTCAGGGCATTGCACAACATGGGTCTACTTACTATGCATGCAGGAAATATACACATAAAATGAAAATAGTAAATAGAAAAAAGGGAAGATACCATCACAGTAATCACAGGAATGATTGATGGCTGAAAGTAAAAAGATAGTG